ACTCTTACATCTAACTTATTAATATTCAATAAATTAATCAAAATCTTTCTCTCGGGGTCATTCCCGACACACTCCACTAGACGATGGTAGACATGCTCTATTTTATTACAACAAACTGGATATAACAGAGAATCCACCATTTTCATAACGAACTCAGCTTTGAATATCAAGGTAAGATTTAGGTTGCAACGCTGATGAGTGGCGAAATAATGAACATATTATTTTGTAAATAGGTTACAAAACAGCCTTTTTACACGTTGACAAGATAACATTTTCAAGTTGAAACCCGGCCAGTCCGGTATAAAATAGTTAAATGGTTATATTACACTACAACTTATTTCTTTATTTTCAAGACATGTCTAACACCAGTTTTATAATTACCTGATCTACGAGAAGGCCGCCGATAGCAGACAGTCCCCATGCAAGCCTGGCCGTGTCCCACAAACTCTCCGGCTTGAACACGTCTATATCTTTTAACTTCGATACTGGAATTAAACCTGAAAATAATAGTTTAATAATTATTCAAAGGGTTAAAATAGTTCAGGATTAATGACTACTCCGTAAGTCAGTGGTTATGAATACGACTGCCGCGGAATGGATCGCAGTTTGATTCAGCTGGTCGAGTCAGCCAATATTTCACAGGGTCCGATTTGTAGCCGGTTTGATCAGAGCCCAGAAATAGTACCCGGTGCATGGTAATTAATGGTTTCTCTTATTGCCAGAGACTTAAAATATACATTGCAAAAAGTGGATGTTAAACCAGCTTGAAATTCATCGTTTAAATTTTTTTTATGGCGTAAACGAGCAGACGGATCACCTGATGGTAAGCAATCGGCGTCGCCCATGGACAACTGGAACACCAGAGTGCGAGTGCGTTACCGGCCTTTTGGGGATTAGGAGTTTGAGGATCGTTGGGGATTCAGGAATTAAGGAGATTGGGGGAAGGGGAGGGTAATTGGGCCTCCGGTAACCTCACTCATACGACGAAACACAACGCAAGCGTTGCTTCACGTCGGTTTTCTGTGAGGCCGTGGTATCACTCCGGTCGAACCGGCCCATTCGTGCGGAAGTATGGCTCTTCCACACTTAAAAATTTAAACAATATCACTAGGATTAAATACGTTATCCTTTTTTGCACTGCGCAGTTGGGTAAATCGCTTAGTGGAATAGCACAGTTCACGAGTTATTGCGGGTGTGAAGTTAGCAGCAAGTCACTTTCGAGCATGTATATTCGCAAATAAATACGATTGTGTACTCACAAATAATGTCGTGGTAGCCCGGAGGTTTAAGACGCGGCGCTTCTCATGCATGACGGTGCTGGTTCGAAACCTACCAACGGCAAGTACCAATGTGACTTTTTCCGAGTTATATGTACTTTCTAAGATTATTCAGACACCACTGACAAACGGTGAAGGAAAACATCGTGAGAAAACCTGGGCATATAATTTCTAATTATAAGTTTGTAATCGCCAACCCGCATTGAGCAAGCGTGGTGATTAATGCTCAAACCTACTACGTGTGAGAAGAGGCTATGCTCAGCAGTGAGCATTTATAGGCTGTTGATATGATATGATATATACTCACAAATAAAAACAATAAAACTATTGTGTTTAATTAGAGTCAATCCCTAGCATATCCCTGTCCCGCCCACGTCGCCATTTTGGTTCCTAAAATACGTTATTGCGCAGTTTTCTATGCGAACTTCACACCCGCCATAACTCGTGAACCGTACTGTAGGTATGTTAGAATGCTTAAATGTTTACAAATAATTTACTAACCTGTGCCACATGACACAACTACTTTAAGGTTGGTTTTCTTAGCCTCCTCGTGTTGCCCTGTAGCTCGTAACGCTAGGTTCAGCTCCGTCAGCTCTGTTAACACATCTAATGTCGGGTTGTTCCCCATTAAACCACCATCCAGGTATCTGTAACAGTTATTTTATCCTAAAAGACTGATGACTGTTGAGTGAAAGAGATTTGTAAAAATCGTAGACATTGGCGTTCCATAGTCTCTGTCTACCCCCTTGGGAGAAAGACGTGAAGTTTTGTATGTATGTATTACGTTTATTGTAATATTTGATATATAATTTCATTTTGTACAAGCGACAGTACATTATGCTACCGTCAAAATTCAGTGATTGATTTTGTCATTTTTAGAAAAAATAGGCTCCAATATAGAATTTTTTCATGGGCTGACATTTTATAGCGGCAAAGTATAACGGGGTTTTTTAAAAAAATCCCGGTAGTAGCACGAAGTCCGGAATTGTGCCCGGTATATAGCAATAGACTCACCCCCTATTACATGGGACTCATAACACAAATAGTGAAAAGTTGGCATTACATTGTACAGTGGCATAAAGTGCCGTAATGTGCACATCTGCCTACTCCTTTGATGATAAAAAGGCGTGATGTTATGATACCTTGTTGATTCTTACAGCCAAACCCTGATGGTAAAGTACCCAAATAAGTTAGTAGCGTAGCACCAAAGCTAGTGAACTGACCTGCCCGAAGCCCTAAAGTATGAGGGCGCGGCTCCAGTAGCCCGCGCCGCCTGCCATACTAGTTGCTCGGACGGGGGCGGAGGCTGAGCTAGTGACACCACTGATGCTTGGTCTCCTGCTTCTGCGTGAGGACCTAGAATTAAAAGTAATCTTATATTAATTATTATGTTTTCGGCTTACTCACGTAACTGCTTGACGAGAAACTCGACTAGTTTCAAGCCATGCTAGAGGTTCATATTCATGAGCAGCATTCCGCGACCCGCGAATCGGCGACTGTCGCGCTGCTACTGCCTCACAAAAGTTTTAATATATTCTTATATCATTACTAGCGGACCCAACAGACGTTGTCCTGCATATCCACTTGAATGTATAAACGAAAATTCAAATTAGTTCAGCTGTTTAGGATAAATAGCCTAAACATCGACTGCAGCGCCATCTGCCGGGCTGATTTGTAAATCTAAACCATTCCCAGATCACCTTGAACACACACAAAAAATTTCATCAAAATCGGTCCAGTCGTTTGAGAGAAGTTCAGTGACATACACACTCACAGAAGAATTATATACATATATAAAGATATAAATAAAGCTAAAGAATTTGTTTGTATGTCTGTTTGTTCGTTTGTTTGAACGCGGCAATCTCAGGCACTAATGGTCTTCGGCGAAGCGTCACCGATTCATGGTAGGTGTCTCACTCACATGCACGAAGCGCTTCCCAGCAAGCTTCCTTGTGCGTATTGGTAAGGAGTGAAATTCTTTGCCAGACTCTGTATTTCCTGAAGGGTGTCTTTAAGCCCCGAGTGAATAGGTTGCTTATGGGACGACGTGCTCCACCGTAGACCGCATCATCGATTACCATCAGGCGCGAGATAGTGATCAAACGTCGGCCGATCAAATATATACCCCTTCGATAATCAAAAGGCAAAACAAAAAGTCACTTATCAATTTTTCTATACATATCTGACTCTATTGCAAATACGACAAAGTTCGCTTTTGTTTAACAATTTTTTTAACCACACAATACCAATTTCAATTGTTAGTTCCCGTTTAGATGTGTTGTGTAGGCAGATGTATGTTCTATGTACACATTGACTTCACCAAACGAATTATATTTAGACTACAGTCATTTTAGATGTACTATACTTACTAGAGGATGTTTGCACTAAAAAACGTGTGTTATTAAGACTCAAGGTCGATTAACAATGACTACTTTTTATTTCTCTAAAGGTTTCGAAACGATCAAAGTGTGAGAGAGCCATACTTCGGCACGAATGGGCCGGCTCGACCGGAGTGGCCGGCACGGCCTCACAGAAAACCGACGTGAAACAACGCTCGCGTTGTGTTTCGTCGTGTGAGTGAGGTTACCGGAGGCCCAATTACCCCCCCTTTCCCCAATCTCCGCAATTCCTGAATACCCAACGATCCTCAAACTTCTAATCCCCAAAAGGCCGGTAACGCACTTGTAACGCCTCTGGTGTTCCAGGTGTCCATGGGCGACGCCGATTGCTTACCATCAGGTGATCCATCTGCTCGTTTACCAGCTTATGCCATAAAAAAAAGATCACCTTTGGTTAATATTACTGTTTACCAGATAGGCTTGTTACCACATTTTCAAGTTAACAAATAAAACTGGAATACAAATGAATGCATGGTTGGCGCGGTAGATGGGAAACTGGCTGCCGCGCAACAAGTCGCGGGTTCGATTTCCGCAAGGAACAACTCTTTGTGTTATCCACAGATTTTTATTCCTAGTCTGGGTTTCATGTGTATATGAACTTGTATATTTGTAAACGCACCCAAGACACAGGAGAAAGGAAAGGAGTATTTGGACAAGAGCCGTTAAACAAATCTAATATGTTTCAAGTCTCGTTACTTGTTTACAATTACAATTACAAGTGTGGGAGAGCCATGTTTCGGGCCGATTGGGCCGGCTCGACCGGAGTGATACCACGGCCTCACAGAAAACCGACGTGAAGCAACGCTTGCGTCGTCAGAGTGAGGTTACCGGAGGCCCAATTACCCTCCCCTTCCCCAATCTTCCCAATCCCTAAATCCCCAAAGATCCTCAAACTCCTAATCCCCAGAAGGCCGGTAACGCACTTGTAACGTTCCAGGTGTCTATGGGCGACGGCGATTGCTTACTATCAGGTGATCCGTCTGCTCGTTTACCGGCTTATGCCATAAAAAAACAATACTTACTTGTAGTTCCATTATGTTCATCAAGGATCTCCTGGGCAGACTTATAGTTTCTGAATAGATGCAGGTCCACAGGTTTCCGATCAGCCAGGAGAGCCAATATCATTAATTTTGGATGTTTTATGTCCGACATTACTGTTTCTGTGCCTGTAATTTTAAGAAAAGGCGTTTTTACATATTAATATATTAATGGCTAGCTGTGGTTGGATAACAATATGGCGATATAGTGCTCATGATGATATTAAGATTTCAACATAGTAAATAGATGTAACAAATATTTTATTGAAACGAGACGAATATTTATAATTATTGAATAGATGAAGAATGCCTCGTTGGCCGAGTGGTCGCAAGTGCGACTGCCGGGCAAGGGGTCTCGGGTTCGATTCCCGGGTCGGTCAAAATATTACTGGGTTTTTAAAAAATTCTCAGTAATATCACGGAGTCTGGAATTTTGCCGGGTATATGGCAATAGGCTCACCCCCTATTACATGGGACTCATAACATAAATAGTGAAAAGTGGGTGTTACATTGTAAAGTGGTATAATGTGCACCTCAACCTACTCCTTCGGGGATAAAAGGCGTGATGTTATGTTATGTGTGAATAGTCTGTGATTAGAACGAGCTATTGCCCATAACTGCATTTGCGTTATAGCATTGTGTAACCCTGTCTTATACGGAGGTGAGTATTACGAATTAGGATGCAGCGGATATCAACTCAAGATCAGATGTCATCACAACATCCCTTTCGCACTATCTTAAAATTGTACCAAAAAACATTGTTATACTTAAATTGGTCTAACAATGAAAACCTTCAAACACATCTTAAGAAAATATATAACAACGAGGACACTCGACTAGTTTCGAACGACACTAGGGACTCATATTTTCTTTTCTATGACTACCTTTAAGTGAGTAATGTCCAAATACTCAAACGCATTTTAAGACGTGCTTAAATATAATTAACACTACAAATTCTTTGTAGAATGACAGAGATGGCACGATATTTAAAATTGAGTAGCCTTTCAGTATTCGGGCGACACCCACTTTTCTCTATTTATGTTATGAGTCCTATGTAATAGTGGGTAAGCCTATTGCCATATTATTATACCGAGCACATTTCCAGACTCCGTGCTACTACTGAGACTTTTTAAAAATCCAGTAATACTTTGCCCGACCCGGAAATCGAAACCCAAGACCCCTTGCCGCATGCTTGAGGCAATCAGTATTATTTTTAGATAAATATAGTATTAACATAATTCTCATGCATAGATTAACGACCTTCATTATGTAACGCGTTGTGTATTCTGAGTCAGTTTTTCAAGGTCGAAGTTTATATTTAATTGACCAAGTTCCGAGCAAGTCACCATGACTGTCAAAATTATGTTTTGTCACAAATGGAGACGTAATATGACTGTGATATAAATATTTATCTTTGGATTCTAGTATATATCAGATTAAGCTGCGAATTTTGGTAAATCCACGTGATATTTCCTTTTTTTTTCATTTTGGAAGGCATTAAAAGTAATACTTTGCCCGACCCGGGAATCGAATTTGACTCGGCAAAATCCCTATATTGTCACTGCGTGAACGGAGGTGGAAGTTTTCAAGTTTAGCCAAGTTTATGTTATGAGTCCCATGAGCAGCGTGCGCGGTCGCGGCGACGTCGCGCAGCTCACTGATGTGAGATGTGAGCTGCGCGACGTCGCCGCGACCGCGCACGCTGCTCATGAGGAAGAACCCCTCTGTGGTTCGAAACTAGTAGAGCTTTTCTCAGTATATTCACGTGAGTAACCCGCGTTTTTACTTAATTTAGTATGTCTCACGATAGTTATTATAAAAACACATCAGATAGAAGATTCACTCACCTAAACAATCTTTTAGAATAGTCTCCAAAGCCTCCGAAGGATATGGCCTCATGCCGATGAAAGCGCACTCTTTCAATCTAAAATAGACTCGCTGGCATTCTCTTAAAGACTTCCCACTGGCCAAGCCCAAAGCCAGTATACCACCAGTACTGGTACCAGCTACCCAATCAAAGCACTCCACGATAGGTCTGCCAACAGCTTCTTCAAGACTAAGGAGTACCTGGACTAGGACTAGGCCTCGAATACCGCCGCCATCTAAGCAGAGTAATCTGGAATGGTTATTTATTTATAGTAGTTTATTCACACAAAACGGCACGGATTGACTTCGAAGATAAACATGAAGGCGTTGAAGCGCCGATTTTGATGCAGATATTATGGCTTGTCCGCGCAAAATCTTGTTATAATGACTATTGAGTATTTTAAGACAACAAAATTTATATAAACATTCATATACTTGTAAGTATAGCTAAAGATAATGTTTTGGGTTTGATATCCAGGTATTCGATCTGAAAAATCGATGGGGGCAAATAAGCAGCTACGTTACCTGATGGTATCCGATCAGTATCGCCCATGGATACCCACATCAACCAAAGGAGCCACAATTGCTTTATTGGCTCATTTCATTTCATAATTTGAAACATAATTATGTAACGAATTACCTATTTCTTTTATATCCTAAGTAGGCCCCAAACGGTCTAAATGGAAGGCAATATATTATTAATAAGAAGAAGATAAACATTTCTTCCTTATTGAACTTTAGTAGAATAGAAAGTAAAGTATGTCTTACCGTCCCTGTTTTTGGGTAGTATCATAACAAGCAGCTCTTTCCATTGCTGCTACGGACAACATTTGGCTTACGAGGTCTCGTGTAGAACTCCTGGCTACGGGAGGAGGTGGAACACCGTTGTAGTCACCACGAGCCGAACAACTTGATCTACAGCCTGATATTTCTGGAGCGCATCTGAAAAGGATGAATTAGAAATACTATAACAGAAAAATATATTTAAAACATTGATTCCAAGAGTAAATTGGCGAGTATGACGGGAAGAACTTGAAAATGCTGAGAAAGAATGCTTTACATTACTTATGATGAAGATACAGACAACTTTAAAAAGTGACCATTAAAATTAAAAAATTGCAACCTAACAAATCTCGTATGGACCCTGATAGAAATAGTAGTTACCTTTTAGCGCCAACCGCATGTAAAACATACAATATTTTATCATAATTGCTGTTCGACAATTCAGTAGGCAACGTATGTCTTGGTGTGTTCCCCATATTGTTCTTCGCTTCCAAATTGGCACCGAACACGATCAAAGCTTGGACTATTGCTATATTCGGTTGCTTAACTGCTAGATGCAATGGAGTGTTTCCTTCATTATCTCCAATTGAATGTTCAGCTCCTCTAGATAATAGGGCCATGGCACATTCTAAACGGCCTCGTAACACCATGATGTGAAGGGCCGTCCTCCCATCGAAGTTGAGAGCATTTATATCACAGTTTTTGTCGACCAGAGCTACGACTACTTCGCGGGAGATCGCCCAGTGGAGCGGTGTACCTCCATGTTTCATATCTTGCTGGTACAATTTGGGCTGGTTGTCTTGAAGGAGATCGCCGACGATACCTGTAATTTTGGTAGACATTAATATAGTTTGTAACAAATTGTTACGGCTGCTTATAATAGAATCGTGTTTAATGTTTTGTCAAAGCAGCAAACAGAAGAAAAATATTTTAAATTAAGATCATTAAAAAACCGTTAATTATCAGCATCGGCAGTAAAACAAAAACTACTAACATGCAAATAATCAAAATTATTTTCCATACTAGGCTACAGAATTTACAATATTTTGTGACTTTAAAGAAGAAGGCGCTCGGAACTCCTCTTTGGAAACTAAATAACTAATAGTATGATCTATGTACCTGAAAGTAAGGTCGCAGATTTCCTTACAGCCGTCATGTTGCCTTCGAAATGAACTAGAAATAATCAAGCACATATAAAGCATAGCATCTAAGCGTACACAGAAGTCCAAACTCAAAATATGTTAAAAGTAACCGTTGAACTACTGTATCAACTTACACTGTGGTAATAGCGTGAAGAGATATACATATAAGAAAACGTGCACAATTAATAGGCTAAGTAAAATATCTAAACAAACATTAATAGCTTAGAAACAAAACAACATAAACATAGAAATACAATAAGAGAGTAGGTATTATTTACAAATGCGAGAAGAAAATAATAAAAAACAGACCATTCACCATACAAAGAAGCATATTAGATATTAGAACACATAGTAATAAATGTCTAAAGATACTTAAATAGCGCAGACCTTCCGCTGAAAATCTAGCGAATTTCAAAATGCTGCGGAACCGATGCAGTCGTCTGTGTAGAGATGCTAGGAGGCGCTATTTTGAGGAGAACCTGGAGAAGCACAATTCAAGCGACGTTTGGAGGTTCTTGCGATCTGTGGGCATTGGTAAATCACCTGTTTCCGATGCCAACGACGTAGACCTTGCGGTTCTAAACGATCACTTCTCACTCTCTCCGGTATCACTCGACGGCTCCATTAAATCTGTCACCCTATCCAATCTTTCTAGTTTACCACTTCCTCCCTGTTCTCCGTTCGTCCTTAGCAGTGTCACTGATGATGACGTGAGAAAGTCCATGTTGGCAGTGAAATCCTCAGCGGTGGGCAGTGATAATCTATGCTCTCGTATGTTTATCCCTATTCTTCATCTCCTCACTCCTATTCTTACCCACATTTTTAATTTCTCCTTATTTTCCTGTTCTTTCCCTACTGCCTGGAAAATGGCTCACGTTATTCCCCTGCCTAAAATATCCAAACCTTCTGTTCCCTCTCACTATAGACCTATTTCTATTCTCCCTTTTCTCTCCAAGGTCATGGAACATATTGTTCACAAACAACTAACGGCCTATCTATCCAGTAATAATCTCATTTCCTCCTTCCAGTCAGGTTTTCGTCCTGGTCACAGCACCGTCACAGCTTTGCTCAAAGTTACAGATGACATTCGCTGGGCCATGGATAATAAATCTCTCACTCTTCTTGTTCTGTTGGACTTCAGTTCCGCCTTCAATTCCGTAGATTTTGATGTCCTGTTGGGTATTCTTAAGTCCAACAATTTCTCCTCTTCTTCCTTATCCTGGTTCAACTCCTATCTCCGGGGCCGCCGTCAGCGGGTTCGCCTAGAGGATACCTTTTCCGATTGGTGTGACCTCGCTGCTGGCGTGCCTCAGGGTGGTGTCCTTTCTCCAGTTCTTTTTTCCATTTTTATTAACACCGTTGCCATGGTTATCACTTCTAATTTCCACCTCTACGCAGACGACTTGCAGCTTTACCGTCATTTCAAGCTGTCAGAGGTCGACTCTGCAATTGAAGCCATGAACCGTGACCTGGGTGGGGTCGACGAGTGGGCCAAATCCTTTGGCCTGCAAATCAACCCCCTCAAGTCCAAGGCTATGATAATTGGTGGTAGGTTTTACCGCAACGCATTGAGCATCTCTGCCCTTGATCCTTTGATCCTAAATGGCAATGTTATCCCTTACACTGATGTTGCCAAGAATCTGGGCGTGTTTATTAATTCTAACCTTTCGTGGGGTGAACAGGTGAACGAGATCAGTCGTAAAGTTCATTTCTCTTTGCATTCGCTGAAGCGTCTCCAGTCTCTTCTACCTCTGAAAACGAGGATCAACCTTATGCAGTCTCTGATCCGTCCATTGATCGACTACGCTGATGCTTGCTATTTGGATGCCACGGAGGAGCTTCTAAATAAACTTGAGCGCTTGCAAAATGTCTGTATACGCTTTGCCTTTGGTTTAAAAAAGTACGATCATATCTCTGAATTTCGCAAAAGACTCAAGTGGCTCCCAATCCGACTTCACAGGAACACTCGCATCTTATGTCTTCTTTTCAACATACTTTTTAATCCCGATTATCCCTCTTACCTTCGTGAACGTTTTTCCTTTGCCCGCCCTCCTGAGGCTCTTTCCCGATCTCATCTTAAATCTAATCTTTCTGTTGTCTCACACAATACTGATTTTTACACCTATTCCTTCACTGTTCATGCAGTGCGACTTTGGAATTCCCTACCACCTAATATCCGTGATTCTAAATCCATCCCAATCTTTAAAAGACTCGTAAGGGAGCACTACCTTTCCTCATCTTGTTCAAATTAGTGTCATATATATATATATATGTATAATATGTTTATTTGTAATATACTCTAATATGTGTATTATTTGATGTGTATCTATCATATGTATGTATAGGTCTATGTATTTTATTGTGATCTATTTATTTAACACATTTCATGTCGTGTTACGCACAGTGTCTCTTTTTTTACCGTTTTTCCTGTCGAAGGACTGCAGGAAGAGATTCCTTCGGGAATATGTAGTTCCTATGTACCTCCAAAATATTTATATATGTTCTCCTGTGTACTGTCTGTGTGTTGTGCATAAATAGATAAATAAATAAATAAAATAAATCTCAAAGCTTGGTACTACAGCAAAGTACAATCGACAAACCTGGTAGAAGACTAGTAGATCTCTTGGCTGCGGTTAGATTGACGTCTGCGCCCGCTAACATGAGGGCGCGCACGCAATCTGGTGCGTCCGCTAAACATGCTGTGTGTAGCGGCGTGTACCCTTGCTTATTGTACACGTTTAGCGATGATGGACTCTTGCTAGCTAAGGCCTATAATAAAAGAAATACTTTTTGATATTATAGAATGAAGTTGTAAGGATTTTTTTTAAGGGGAAAATCATCGAATGACTTCTCTCGCCTCGGTGAGGCTGTAGGGAGTGTCAGACTCTTACTGCCTAAAAACCACCCCGTTCCTACTTCTGCCCTTCGAGCCAGAGCCCCGGCAACACGTTAAGTCCTACGCGGCTCCGTATCGGGAAGTTGTACGGATACGATCCAAAATATCTAGAACTATAGGACCATAGGCATAACGGCTCCGAAATCAGAGACATTCATATCTTGTTTAAATAGAAATTATACGACTATTGTTATATCTGTGGCAAGCTGGCCACTTTCAAAAGTGCAAACTTGTTTATGTTCTTTTTTTGTTTATAAATTATATGTGTGCTTCTGACTAACTTGTAAGTATTTCACGCGTAAAATAAATAAAATTAATATTGGAAATTTATAATAGTTATGCTTTCATATCAAAGGATTCAATGGTATTAATGCATACTGTATAGGTATACGAAAACTACTGGGTACAACGACTCGTCAAAAGTTTCAATTTAAACGTTGCTTGATATTATTTTCTTTATTATTGCTAACAAATAACATTAATCCATGTTTCATAATCTGAAACAAGACAAATTGCGCGACATACGTAATCCCTTGCATAGCGGGACGTCTGTTAGCGCCACGCCGGTCACCAAGGGTTGATAGTTATAAAGGGACCTAAATATAAATAACTCAGGTATTTAGCGCAGGCGCGAATCCAGACTCAGGCCCGAGGGTTGAAACCTAAGGGGAGGCGTTAGTCGCTCGGTGGCCGACCTCGAAATCGGTTTACGCGCGCCATATTTTTACACGTAATTATTTTTGTTATTGTCTATTGTTGTGTGTTTGCGATTTGTTTATTTTGATAATTGGATCAAATAACATTATTATTAGAGAATATTTCTTATACTTTTAAATGATTATATTGACAAACTTACTGAATTAATGTAAGAAAAGTCATTTGCATTGCATTGCAATACACTTACAATTATTCAGAATTTTTCGATGTTCGCGTTGTGTTCGCAAATGAGATAGCTTAATTAATTAATTAGTCGTAAGAAAAGGAAGGACAGTGTATCCTAATATTGATTTATTACATTCGGGCCTATAGCGAATGCAGGTTGTGATTGATTCACCCTCTCGTTCCGATAAGGACGGAGATATTAACTTCGTATGTTAAAGGGAGATAAATAGTGTTACGGAGTGCATCCGTCATCGATCGAGTCTCGTTTTATTTTATTTAGAGGGCGAGTTAGGGCTTACATCGGGGACCTAAGCAGCAGTACAGTTTTACGTTAATTTTAATAAATAAAGTATTATATTAGATTCCTTAGTGCTAAACTACTTTGCAGGTAGTTTCATCTGTCTTCTGACAATGGAGCCGAAAATATGCAGTGTACTTGATTGTGGCAGTAGAAGTGATCAAGGTGACCCGGAAATTTATTTTTATGGGTAAGTATTTTTGTTATTCGTGTGCGAAATATGTAAGTGTCGTGAGCGGTGTGATGAGCGGTCGCGGTCCTACTCCTACAAGTGGTTTTTATTTACAAGGCGCTTAAAGAGCTGCTAAGCAAGAGTTTAATAATTTTAAACCCTAAATACAAGTAAACAACGTCTCAATGAAATGACATCATGTGTACTAAGTTACTAGTTACAAACAACATAACATAACATCACGCCTTTTATCTCCGGAGAGGTAGACAGGCGTATACAATACGGCACTTAATGCCACTGTACAGTGTAACACCCACTTTTCACTATTTATGAGTCCCATGTAATAGGAGGTGAGACTACAATCATATACCGGGCACAATTCCAGACTCGGTGCTACTACTGAGAATTCGACCCAGGAATCGAACCCGAGACCCCTTGCCCAGCAGCCGCACTTGCGACCACTCGGCCAACGAGGCAGCCATAAATAAAAATAATAATGAGTTAATCTGTCCAAAAATTGCCTCACAGATTCCCAAGGAAGCCGAAATATCGCAAAGTTTGGATAGCTGCAACTGGTCGTGAGCAGTGGTCTGCAAAGAGGAGCTCTAGGATTTGCAGCAAGCACTTCCTACCCGCTTGCTTTGCTGAGGGAGAGGGGAAATCTCTGCTGGAGGACGCTGTTCCAACTGAGGTAAGAGTATATCCTTAGAAACTAGTATCATGTGTCTCTTTTATATGATAGGAAGTCAAACGGACAGATGGACCTGATGGTAAATGATCAGTGCCGCCAATGTGCATGTTTAAGCGATTTTCATAGATAAACTAGCGGACCCAACAGACGTTGTCCTGCATATCCACTTGAATGTATAAACAAAAATTCATTCAAATTAGTTAAGCTGTTTAGGATAAATAACCTAGACATCGACTGCAGCGCCATCTGCCGGGCTGATTTGTGAATCTAAACCATTCCCAGATCCCCTTGAACACACACAAAAAATTTCATCAAAATCGGTCCAGCCGTTTGAGAGAAGTTCAGTGACATACACACTCACAGAAGAATTATATATTATATAAAGATAAACATCGGATTGCTATATTTAAGGAAAGCTGTATGCCGATAGGTTCCTACACCCTTCTCTATTTTAAACATTCCTGATGTTGAATTAAACTGTCATACACCAAGCGATCACCGGTGACCGCAACCTATTGTTCTATAATTGTGTCTATAATGACGCTACTCAACGAGTTAATTAAAAAATAACAAACATTTCCAACTTTTTTGTACAGTTAAATATGTTTTTATTGTTTGCAGTTCATCAAGACTGCGGCTCCTGAGAACCCTCAGCGGTCGTTTACACCTCTGGATGCAGTACTTTCCGAACAATGTTTGGAGCCCGACGAAATAGATGAACTGGCCGAATGGTCGGAATCGGATGTAATCAATGTAATGCCCATTTTCCACCAGTTGTATTAAGAGGCCTATAAAATTGCCAGTAGACAGTTTCCAACACCAACCTATTGTTTAGAATTTCAAAATTCGAAAAATTTTATAATACCTACTTGGTCCGACCCATAAATTCTACCACAGACCGAAAGCTGCATGCAACATAGTACTTTTAATACCTCTTAAATATATAACGTTTCTGATGTTGACAAACATTTATAAGTTTTATGTACATTTTTAGAAATATATTTTTTTCTTATTTGCAGTTCATCAAGAGTGTGGACTTTGATAAACCTCTGCGGACGTCGACACCTCTGGATATAGAACTTTGCGATCAATATTTGGAGCCAGACGAAATAGATGAATCGGCCGAATGGCCCGAACCAGGAGTAGGTATATAACATAACATTACCCCTTTTAATCCTAAAAAATAAACAATATCCAATGTAACGCCTAGTTTTCAGCAGTCGTGTTATTATTGCTGAGAATTACAGAACCGAAAAAAGGACACGGTGGCATGCTGATTGTCTTTATTGAAGTTACAAGCTTATTCACAAAACATTGACACGCAAATTCATCAAAAAATTGGAACTTGGAATACTGTCCTATCAAACCCTCAAGACACAATCACTTTCTATTGTCTTCACATTATTTAAATTTTAAAGCAATACAAACGTTTCAACTTCTAATCAAAAATTGTTTTCTTTAGCTGAACTATTCACTGAAAATGGGCTATCCATCTGAAGACCAAGCCGGCCCTAGTATGATAGTAATAAGAAGCACAGCAGTAGCAGTACCTGTTCCAGGAACAAGTGCTACAGTTACTGAAGCAGAATTTACAAAGGAGCCTGGCAGTGCATCTGTAGTAACACCTCCACAGTCATCTACCAATGAGGTAACGAGCCCTCCGGAAGAATTGACAGCGACACTTTCAGTTCGATCCACAACTAGACCCGCAACGCCCGAAAGACATGGTGCACCAAAACCTACAAAATCTGATACGAGTGCTAAAGAGGGATCGAAATCTAGCATTCTTCCACCATGGGTAAGAATCCCCCCTGAATGTCCTGCCCGTAATCCTAAAGAAGCAGGTTCCACATTCAGAAAGAAGCTGTTCGCTTTCCTTCGCTGTCCACACAACCCTTTGGATATAGAGTCTGATTTACGAACATTAATTTCGTTGGGGGTACATATTTTTATTCTACGCAGAGGCAACTTCAGATCTGTGGTCAATTCGCTTTTTCGCTACCTTATGAAGGCATAAGCAAGCAACTGTCAAATAACGAAGCAGTTACCAATGTCACCGAAAGATAAGTAGCAAAATCAAGCAATTGATGGTTCTTGTTATTTTCGGGTGACATCTATTAGTCAAGCGTAATGCCAAATAATAGTGATACGCGTATATTTACCCCGAACCCCTTTAAAATAATCACTGTAAAATTGTAATCACTTTTTGTAGTACTATTTATCAAAATATTTAGACTACTGCGATTTTTTCGCATTATTTTGATATGGATGTCTAAATTAGTAGCACTTGATATGTACCTACTTTTTATTTATGAGTAAGTGCCAAAACTCTTTACATAAGGGAGAACATTCGCACATCATTAACTACCGACTACAAATCTGCTGATGCTCATATTAAGCAGTAAACGATATTTCGTTTAACATTAAAATATAGTGATTTGTCGCTTTTGTAGAAGTAGATTAAGCATTTGTGAAACTGATAAAAATTGACTGAACAGAAAGGCACTAAAAAATATTGTAACAAATTGAGAACCTCCTCCTTTTTTAAGTCGGTTGAAAGCGCACATTCTGCATATTCTTTACATTAGACAATAAGGAAACTTTACTTATTTATGTGTGTGTAGTATTATGAAGATTTCGTGGGAGTATTCGCTATTGTTGAAATGAGAAATAGTGCTAAAATATTATGGTTTTCATCTTTTCACAACTGATAAAAAAGGTGTACGATACTACGGACCATTTTTGAATGACAAAGATAAGTTTATTTTGTCTTTTTAGCTTATAACTCATTAGTAGCGAATGCTTACGGAAAACCGTATCTTTATCGTAATTATGTACTCGTCTGTCTATACTTAATACATAATATTATTAATGAAACATATATGCCGGAATACTGAAACGTTACTCAATTTTAAGTCGTGCTCAAATAGCGAGCCATCTCTGTCATTTTACAAAGAATTTGTAGAGATAGAACTATACTTAAGCACGACTTAAAATTGAGTAGCGTTTCAGTATTCCGGCAATACCTACTCAATATAGGGGACTTGTATAACACTATTGGATATAACTGTTGAACGTTTGATGAACATTAATATATCGTAGAATTAAGCTACATTTTATAATCTCATTGTAATCTGAATCTGATTAATTTTAATAAAGTTCACAACCATACAGAGTTTTTTATTAGTAACGCCTACAAACAGTGTCGAAAATAAAACTTAAGAGTTGTTATATAAGATGACCCGAGTTTGTGCTGAAGATCTGGGATTTGGGACGAGCGAAATAGGGTTGAAATAAGTAACATTTGTAGACTTTTCGAAAGAATTCAGTAATGGCATGAAGTGTAGTACCTACCTATAGTAGAATTTGAATGTGCTGGCTGAATCATGCTAGCAGTAGCAGTACCATCTTTTTTAACATGAGAGCCATGCTTCCATGAGTGATACCACGGCCTCACAGAAGAACTACGTGAAACAACGTTGTGTTGTGTTTCGTCGTGTGAGTGAGGTTACCGGATGCCCAATTACCCCCCCCCCCTTTTTTTCCCCAATCCCTGAATCCCCAACAATCCTAATCCTAAAAAGCCGGTAACGCACTTGTAACGCCTCTGGTGTTCCAGGTGTCCATGGGCGACGGCGATTGCTTATCATCAGGTGATCCGTATGATCGCTTACCGGTTCAGCCGATAAAAAAAAATATTGTCGTCGACGCTGACAGTAATAGTACAAAAAGTCAGTGCCCAGTGATATCGTATCCAAATGAATCTTGAAATATAACTGGTGGAAAGTTAGTGGCGTGATATAGGAACATTCCCGGAACCAATCCTTATCAAAAAACGTACACAAAGTCCAAAAATCACCAGTAAATTAGATAAAGAGAGTTTGTCGTATTTTTAACAGTTTCATAACAGATGACCCATTTGAATCAAGTCATATCAATTTATTTATCTATGTAATGTAAATATGCATGTTGTGTTATATTGGTTTATTTAGATTATCTATATTTTAGACCTATGTTATCTAAAGCGAGCAGTGTATGTGTTACGTGATGTGAGCGTGAGTCAGGGCCTAAATGGAGTGATGGAATCAATCGAGTCTGGACTATAATGGCCTTAGGTCGTTATTTAGGTAGACAATATAACTATCTACCTAACTGTGTATCGATTCTATGTACTAGGTAATCGTTTGCCCTGACATAAATTGTAGTCAGGATCTATACTATACATTTTTGTCCCCACACTAGGATTTTTCTTGTCGTGGGTGCGTTTAAAAACATACAAGGTTACATACACATGACACCCAGCCCCGAAACAACAATTTGTGGATTACACAAAGGGTTGCTTCGTACGGGAATCGAATCCGCTACAAGGTGCGCGGCAGCCGCTGTGCCAATCGAGCAGTTTATTATAAATTATTTCGAAGTAGGTCATTTATTTTTGTTTTTTTTTTGTTTTTAAAAAACGTTGCCCGACAATAGGTTTTTCTCCTGTGTCGTGGGAGAGTTTACAAACATACAAGTTCACATACACAATGACACCCAGACCCGAAACAACAATTTGTTGATCACACAAAGTGTTGTTCCGTGCGGGAATCGAACCCGCTACACGTTGCATGGCAGCCGGTTGCCCAGCCACCGCACCAACCGTGCAGTCATTCATGAAAATAAAGACTTAACATATTTTTGAGAAAATGTTACACTCTATACTCATTTTATCTCCTGAGCCGATCGTGTGCCTGTTAATTTCCTTCCTCCCTCCTTAATGACCCCTCTGAACCAACGGAGGGTGTCCAGCGATGCAGCCATTTAGTCCGTAATTAAGTGTCGGTACCTATTTGTGGCCCTAACTAGGGTCTTTATTTTTAAACCAGCTTAAGTAGGTAATCAGTAGCCGCAGCACGCTGAACCATGAGTGGTAAATAACTGCAATAACCATCGTCAATTCAAAATCTTTTGGTTAAGACCGATTTTTTACTTTAAGTACTTAGTTGTATTCTATGGCCCTGTCAAAAAACCAGGGTGCTTAATATCGAATCCAATTCCGATCGATAACGCAACACTAGCGCCCATTGCATCCGTATTGCGTGGATATTTCATATGAACTAAATGGTATTGAGTTTGGCTTTATATTTCGAACTCTGAATGCTTATTTTAACAACTACGATAGGGGTGGTATAGTTTTGACAATAATTATTAATTATTTAGATTTTATTGGATTAAAATTGCATTGACATTGTGATTGGTTTCAAGAGTAAGCAACCAGATCGATCCGGAGATAATCTGTTCTTCATTTTGACTGTTAGACGATGAATTCCGATTCAGAAGTATCACTCCTGTATTACTTGGTTCAATAACTCATTGTCAGTCGGTAAAAACAATAAGAAAGTATAATTAATATTTTCGCAATGCATTACACACATTGCTTTTCAATAATATTTTATGTTATTCTTCTCATAATATTCAACTTAACATTTTGTTTTACTTGATGTCATAGTGAGAGCGTTTAAGGACACATTAATAAAAGTAATTTATAAACGAGACGTAAAAAGGTTATTTATTACAGAAAATTATTCAAAATAACGCCTTATTAATGTTTATATCATAACTTTTGTGAGACATGTTAATTTAATTATTATTTCGGCTTACTCGGTAGCAGACCCGCGACGACGGGGGACTGTCGCGGTATGCTGCTCATGAATACAAGCCTCTAGCATGGCTTGAAACTAGTCGAGTTCCTCGTCAAATAAGTACGTAAGCCGAAAACCATAATAATTAACCTTATTCGTGTATTTGGTAACCAAAAAATGGGAATGAAAGTGAAAGCATTCAAATGAATTATGAAATGAGTCCTTGAAGGTTTTATTAACACTTATAAATATACACTATGGACGTAATACTCCACTTTAGCATGTGAATTAGTTCAGTTTATTTTTAATGCTTCTGAAATACTCGATTCCGAAAGCAAAGCCAAAAGTAACATTCTGACAGACAGCTAGACAATAAACAACTTTTGAAAAGATCACAAAACACACATACCTCACAAGGCAACTTAAACCATACTCCGTCGAAATAAAGATTCAAATGTATTGGACGTTTATTTTAAAATATTTAGATTAGAATTGTAATTATAGAAAAATCAATAACTCACGTTAATAATTTCTTTGTTGCTAGCAGCTGCGTAGTGGAAGACCGTGTTGCCTTCAAGGTCGATGACATCTAGGGAACAATGCAGCGAGACTAAACTCTGAACCATGCGCACATTGCATGATTTTACAGCCACCTGAAACAAAGGATTTTTTTTAAACCTACCAGATATATTTTTGTGTGGAATAGGGGCAAACTATTCATCCATCGTTGGCCGCATAATTGCGTACTAGGCGAAATAGCGGTCAAAGGCCTACCCAATACAAACAATCTTATATCTTTTACATGCTATTACTAGCGATCCGCCTCAGTTTCGCACGGGTGCAATGCTTTTGTAATTTATGACATCACAATAGAAATCTCTAAATTTATCAGTGTTTCTCTACTATAATAATATTCATAAGCGTGTATTATACATACAAACCTTCCTTAAGAATCACTCTATCCATGAGAAAAGAAAAAGGTCGCAATGGGCTCGCTGCCATCGCAGCGGTAAGTCCCCTCTTTGAGGAGTGGCTTGAGAGACGCTACGGCGTCCTCACCTACCGCCTGACGCAGGTCCTCACCGGACATGGCAGTTTCGGGAGGTACCTGTGTCTGATGGGGCGGGAGGAAACGCCCGGGTGTCATCACTGCGAGGACCGCCCTGAGGACACGGTGGAACACACGGTGGGAGAATGCCCTTCGTGGGCTGAGCACCGCCGTGTCCTCAGGGAAGTGATCGGCGATGGCGACCTCTCGCGTCCGGGCCTAGTGCAGGCCATGATGCGGAGCGAGGGGGATTGGGATGCCGTCTCCTCCTTTTGCGAAGCAGTCATGCTAGCTAAGGAGGAGGCGGGACGCGTGAGGCAGCGAAGCGCTGCCTCCTCGCAACCCAGCCATCGCGAAGGACACCGGGCGTCGGGGATCGCGGGACGATCTCCGGCCACCGTAAGCGCGGGCCTGCGGACGGCGAGCATGGGTGGCTCCCCGTCCGACCAGAAACAGACCCGAGCGTACGGCGCGTCGCGTTCCGCGCGCGCCTCAAAGAGCCATCAGACCACCACAGATGGGGCCCAATAGGGCCGATGCCGATTCGGAGTCGCGGAGAACCTAACGGGTAACCGGGGCTCCGGCTCGACGTGCAGGAGAAGGAACGGGGTGGTTTTTAGTCAGTAAGAGTCTGACACTCCCTCCCGCCTCACCCAGGCGGGGGCAGTCATTCGATGATTTTCCCCCCTTAAAAAAAAAAAAAAAATCCATGAGAAAAAACCGCATCAAAATCCATTGCGTAGTTTTAAAAATCTAAGCATACATAGGGACAGACAGACGGCGTCGTGCGTGTGGGCGGAACATCTACCATGAATCGGTGCCGCTTCGCCGATTGTCTTCTGGTACGATGATGGAAAGGACTAGGGGCAATCAAGTTGTGCAATTCCCCCGCACACTCACCGAAATGTATCCGGTAGAAAACCGAAAGGCTTGCAACCTTACGCCTGTGCTCGAGGCTTTGAAGCCGAGCCTTCACAAGCGCATCATCGTCGATGAGCCTCTTGGCTCTCTTACTTTGTTTTATACTATGTAGTGATAGTCATAGTGATTAAAAACTGAAGAGTTTGTCTGTTTGTTTGATGGCACTAATTTCCGAAACTATTGTATCGAATTAAATAATTGCTTTTGTTTTTTTATAGGATAAGCCGGTAAACAAGCAGACCAATCACCTGATGGCAAGCAATCGGCGTCGCCCATGGACACCTGAAACACCAGAGGCGTTACAAATGCGTTACCGGCCTTTTGGGAATTGGGCATTTGAAGATTGTGAAGGATTCGGGGATTGAGGAGACTAGGGAGGGAGGGTAATTGGGCCTTCGGTAACCTCGCTCACATGACGAAACACAACGCCAGCATTGTTGTTTTACGTCGGTTTTCTTTGAGGCCGTATCGCTCCGGTCGAGCCGGCCCATTCGTGCGGAAGCATGGCACTCCCACACTTAGACACACACTTTTGTCTTGGATAGACCATTTATCGAGGAAGGCTATAGGCTATAAAACACATATATATCACACTAGGATCAATGGGTGCCGGGCAGAGCGGGTGGAACCGCGCGGGAGTAGGAAGTAAAAAAATAAAACTAACAGATCATCTGATGGCAAGTAAATAAGTAATCATGCAGTCACGCTACCTATCGAGATCCACAATAGCAGAGCATTTACAAATGTGTGGTTTATAGTTTCAGTAAGCTCTTACATAAAATATGCACGAGTACCTAAACATCTGCTGTATTTTGTCAGAATTACCTACGGTAGGTACTTGTAGAAAAACAGTATTACAGACATCATTTGCATAAATTATTATTGCAGTAGGTACATTGTTTGTTCTTTCTTATTCACAAGCCCATTGAGGTCTTTCGCAAGTTCAGGTTTTGAAAAGATTCTTTTATTTAAGTAATTAGAGAAATCAGTAAATAGCCGAGAGTGATCGTGTAATTCAGTGTGTAAGTATCTAATTTCAGCGACGACTCAACTGACTCAAGTCACGCAAAACATAAATTTAAGAAAGTCTAATTACAATAGATTAGTATTTTGGGACGTCCTTTTTTTCACAAAGGAGTGGAATTATAAATGGGTATCTACTGTAAAAGCCACTTAATGATTCATTATTAGCAGTTCACCTTTATTGAAGACATTTACTAAGATTAACGGTCGCGGCGTTGCCAGTGTTGTCACTAGGCTGAGCTGAGCGTCTTTGCCGGCCGCGACCGCGTGGCGTGTGTTGCTCATGAGGAAGAGTCCCTCTGTGACTTGAAATTAATAGAACTATTCTCAGTATATTTACGTGAGTAACTCGTGTTTTTTTTTCATATTTGATGGGACCGACCGGTCGGTTGGCCGGCTGATTATCATATTATATTATTTTTTTAACCAACTTCAAAAAAAGGACGGGGTTCTCAATTCGAGTTTTTTTTTTTATTTCAGTTTGTCTCACGATACTTATTATAAAAAAAATTATTGAGATGATGATTTCACTAAAAGTACATTATCAGAAAGTATGTATGAAAGAATATATTAACGAGAGATTTAGCTAACAATCTAGCCAGAGCAAAAACGTCTACAAAAGACTAGCTAATATTCTAGATAGTATATCATCGATTCATCTCTGTTTACACTGAAATCAGAAACGTGACGACTACATTTAGGGCTCGTACACAAAACTGTGATGCGACGTCGCATCGCAAAACTGTGCGAGCACCCTCAACGCATCGCAAGAACTTGCGGATTAATTCGCATCGCGCATCAAAATCTTATGTTCCCAAAATCTTCTTTGATTCTTTTTCCTGTATCTCCTAAGAAATAACAGAAGTGTACACTTCTTTTTACGATCCATGTCACGACCTAGTTTTCAATTTAAAATACGTTTAGTACGGTTGACGGTCGTCGAAGGAATGGTCACCCTGAGAGACGCCTTCTCACGCGAAATCGCATCGCAGCAATTCGCATCGTAATTTTTTGCGTTGCGAATTCGCATCGCATCGCAGTTTTGTTTACAAGCCCTTATACTGTGTATCCGTAGATATTCATACTCTGGATGTATGTATAAATATATGTCACTAACCTAGTTACACTTGGCGATGAATCAAGTTGTGATATGTGGCCATTCGTGACGTCATTAACAAACCCAATAACGGAAAAAAATATTCAGGGAATTTCCCTTTTCAAATAACAGGCGGGTCACTGGTAAAATCACTTTTAGATAAGGATTACAAGCAGTCCTTATGATTTTAAATCCCCACAGGTGAAGTGTATTAACAAAACTTTCGTTTCATTTGTAAACAGCAATCTCAAAAAGACCTGATTCTGTAAACTTTATGAGAATATCAAAAAATTAAATTTAGAATAGAAATGGAACAAGAAAAGAAATTGAAAAAAATAGAAAATAAAAATTATTATGAACGTAACTAAACTTTACAAAAACAATCAATGCAATGTCTATTTGTCTAACAAACAAGTACCAATAATAATCACAAATGAAATGTACAACAAAACGCAATGTATTGTGTTGTTCGCATTAGTGAAGTAATTATAATAACTGCAGTGAAGCTATCTTCATAGTTTAAATAGTTAGTTAATCTTTGAATCACTGCTATACTTGACCTTTAGACATGAAGGAAATAATTACTAAGAAGTTCATAAACAAAGTATATGTTCACGGAATACATAGTGTTTGTATATTACTATAGTCCGTCTGTTTAGGTAATTAACTAAAGGTAAACAAACAAAACCACGTGACACAGAGATACTTAACCTTCTATTACTTCAAATATTTCTCGTGTTTTAATTTAAACTAAATTCACTTTAAAATCGTTCATTTGTCACACACACACACATACAAGCACAAATGCCTAAATCGTACAAGAGCCTAGCCTATGGGTCTATTTCATTATCATGTTTAAATAGAAACTATTCTGAATCTGATGTACGGATTTCTTTCTTGTACGGATATGTGTCTTTGGGCCAAGTTTCTTCAATATATTTGAACACATTAATTACAAACGATGAATAACCTAAACTTAAATAACGTAATAACAAAAACAAAACAAAAACAAGATAAATTCAACAAAATAGGAACGCGAGCGCAAACGACGAGAGAGCTGTCAATGGCGCCTGATTAACCGACTAAACGTAATACACGCTACTTTCATTGTCGCGCTACATCTTAATTGTACTCTTTAATTTGACAACATTATCTAATGCTTCGTTCATAAAGAAAGGTTTTGGATACCTGGGATTTTAGGCTCTTTATGGTGTCTATTGTAATGAAATATTATATTATTTAATAAAAAATGTTATTAAATTATTATGCTCAAGCAGATATATATAATATTTACTAAGAAATAAGTGAAAAGGATTAGAAACATAACATTTAATAGAGAAAACTGTCGTAAAAATGGAAACAATTTTATTTTCTTATGAAGTATTTTGAGTCATGGAAATGTCAACTATAAAGAACTCTTTTTATGGTTTGTTTACAAATAGTTAACTACCTAAACAGACGGAGTATAGTACATGTACTCTGAGTCACATAAAGTTGTCACAATTTTTTTTACGAAAAAAGTATTCAACCTTTATAATGGTTTAGTTATGGAAACCTCCTTGGTTTAGTCTATGGAATTCTTTCATAGTCCCAGGAAACTTTAGCAATGACTTGCAATGGTTTTAATTACTTGGTCCTTTGACCTCAATTAGTCATACGAAAGACTATGAGGAATTCCCTATTCCATTTTTAAGATTTGAGATGAAAATCAAATGGCATATATTAGAAGAAATCATAAAAGGACCAAAGAAACAAAATCACTTGTTTTTATTATGTAACACACATTTGTAGTCAGTTACGTTATGTAACGAGCTTATTTTAAAGTTATGCTTAAAGATCTTTTTTTAAAAACTGCTTCTGTGTTCTCTTACAACCATATGTTAGCTGTGCTATGCCAAAAAACCAGATGATTTGCCGGCACAATACTTTCTATCATAATCCTGTTTACTATTCTAAAACTCTATTAAAAAAACACATACCATCAAAGGTGAAGCTCCAGTCAAAGGATCAATATCATCAATATGTTTCTGAACTTCAGGGTCGTTGAACTGCTCACTCAGGCCAAAGTGGGCCATCATGTGAGCAATTGTCCATGATTGGTGCTGTGATAATGTGTCGCATAGTTTCTGAAGAATTGCCACTGTGCACTGTAAATGGAAATATTTAATTAGATCACAAAAAAAGGTTTCATTGCCGTTATAAACAGTTTTGTTATAATGTGATAAATGATAATATAATTATATATAATAAAGTCAGTCTTTAAAATATAATTTAATTCTATCTATCACAGTTTAGCTCAATTAGTGTTTTTCTATTCATTTTATAGTTGATTAATAATTTTCTTCATTTAATTTTAACTGATTATATTACATGGGACTCATAACATAAATAGTGAAAAGTGTGTGTTATATTGTACAGTGGCATTAAGTGCACCTCTGCCTACCCCTTCGGGGATAAAACGCGTGATGTTATCTTATGTAATTTTTACTGAATAAATATGCAAAACTTACCTCTTTAGTGATTTTAATAAATATTGGTATTCTTTCTTTATAAACTATGAATTTCTCCTCAGCCTCCTCTAAAGTTTTAGCTCGACACAAACTGTAAAAAAACACAATAGTTTATTTTTTACACATACACACACAGTGATGCTATTCACATTACATTGCCAAAGCTAGGATTTTCAGGTACTTAGCATTTTTGATATATGCAGGTAAATATTTTATCATTTTAGATAAATCCTTTCAAAGTAACTATATTAAAACCAAAAAAAGAACTCTGAAATAAAAGTTCATTTTAATATGTCTCTAGACATCGGAAATAAGGTCTATAATGGATTAAGTGAAAAGCGGTCATCGGTGACCACAGAACATATAAAGGAGGATAGAACGGCCTTGTGGGCGGTACACGCGTGCCGCGGTTATGAGCAAATGCTCCAAATCTACCAAAATGTCAAAAACCGGCCATCAAACGCAATGTTGTTGTGACAGCGTACGAAACTCCGCAAATAATATTAAATTATGCCGTCTTGGACTATTGTAATGTGTCGGAAAAGAAGACAGGTGTGCAATGTAGCACGAGAAGGGATTTCTTTCCACCAGTGACTTCAAAAACATTAATATACTTGTGATATTTGTAATTATAACATTAATATTATGACGTTTCTAGACAAAAACGACATTATCGCAAGCAGTATACATTGCTTGCAATAGATACGTACCGTTTTGCACTACATAAACGATCGCGCAATGTATTACGTTCACAACGAGAGTCCCGAGTATCAAATCAAAACGTCATTTCCTCGAATCGATATAGAGAAGTGTCAATTTGTAAACAATGTCGATAATTACTATGATACAAAGGATTATTATCAAATTATACACATTATAACTAAAATAATTTTATTTATTACGACTAATTATGAAATAGGTTTTAAGTGAGGCATTTTATTCGTATTTCAGTTTTATATAATTTTTTATGTATTCGTTATGTTTTGTTCAGTAAGTAGACTGATTTTATGATTTAGGAAATTTTGTTTTACATTTCTACCTTGATATCATCTAAGGGACATCTAAATCATTTTTCGTAAGATGGATACTCTTTCATACATGCTTAGGCCCAAATTGTAAATAGTTGAAACTATGAGAAATTCTTAAAAGCCAGCCGAAATTTTAGTCAATAATTTAAAATAGTTGTTGAGGTTTTCTATTCGAGAACAAAGCTATGACAACAAATAAGATGACATTATATCCTGGGAGCGATTGTATTGTACCTTTTTTAAGAATAGCTATGTACACTTGATGACTTTTCTAGTTTTCAGAGCTTTTAGAGCTGACTTAATTTACGTGAGCTAAATATTGTGTTGGCCTGGAGGTTGCGGCGCTGTTTCATACAACTTATACGTACTTTCTAAGTTAATTTGCACACCACTCACATTCAGTAAAGGAAATTATGTAACCGAAACTATATAATAATTCCTATTTATATTAACTATTAAAGAAATACGAACGACGATTATCGGTTGTCATCATACGAATGTCATGATGATATCTAACAGAGACAATAACAGAGTTTTGAGCACAGATTAGATATATCATGATATGGTTACGTTATGATAATTCTCAATATTTCATTATTTTATGATTTTTCATTCCTTAGGGAGAAATTACGCTATTTTTTATATATTTTGAATTAAGTAAAAATCTATTATTTTTGACCCCATGACTTCCCAGACTCCTTTTATTTTTATAAAACTTACAGTTGAAAACAAAACAAAATCGAAATAATACCTTTTCGGGTTTTTATACTTTTTTGATTACTACCAATCAACAATTTACTTATAACTATATTCCATGTCAAATTATTTTAATGTTAATAATGTAATTGATTTTAAAAATCAGTTATGTATTTTTCTATGTATAGTTATTTACATTAACGTAAATACATGTGCACAATATGCTTTATACAAATCCGCATAGTCCACAATACATGTAAATTAAGAAGCTAGATGCCATTAATTTTATCGATATCAATAATCGACCTTTCGCTCCCCCTACCATATATGAGTTTTTTACGCCTGTATTAGTGTATGTCAAACGAAGTGATTGCGTCAGTGTGACGACCAATAACAAATCTTTTAACCTAGTGCGTGTCGTTTATTTGTGTGCATTTTCCGCGTAGGTATTGGTCTCTTGCTTGTAGTAAAGTTAAAGAGTGGGGGACAAACGGCGACGCGTGTTCTAATACAAATCAGGAACTATTTCCTTTCTAGCCTTCTTTATATGTTCTGTGTCGGTGACCGCTTGAGGATTGAACAGATAAAAGGCAATTAGATGTTTTAGTTACTAGTTAGGGGTGAAATACACAGGGAACTTTTAGAGTTAAATATTTAATTAATAATTGTTCTATTATTATTATTTTCATATTATTTTCCTGTACAAGGCATAAGTACAAAACTCAATTGTTATTATCATAGTCTTAATTCCAATGCCAATGATAGCTCTAATGATACAGAAAATTAATACAACTTGTAAACTAAACTGATAGTGAAAAAGCTATAAATGACAAATATTATAATCAATGAACTGATTACTAATTGTGTGTAAGCATCCTTAAAAATTAAAAAGATATTATAAATTAGTGAGTCTTACGACTCTCCTTACATCACATATTTTTTTTTTGTTTTCAGTTACAAGTGTATCAGTTGTTAAAATTAACTGGAATTAGTTGAGGATTCAATTTTATTACTGATATTAATTCTTCAGTGATATATTTACCTGCCATATGGCATATGGATGTCAAATAAAATAGACCATAACATATTTTGAGTTAAATTTTTAATTCTAGTTCTTTATACATTTAGTTTTACTAATATGTTTATCTTCAGTAGCTGTACATATTATTTAAATAATAATCCCATTCAGAAGTAGAGTTTGCCAAAATTGTAAAAAACAATTGGCAATTATCATTAAAAGAATGAGTCAAACCCATAAATAATGTCTTACCTGTACATCTGATGTAAGCTCTCAGTAAAAGGCTTATGGAGTACTATTTCGAAGTATTTGTCCTTCGTGTTCTTGCCATCAGAGGGAGATTTAGGCCCATACAATAAGATCGAGTCCTCGCGATAATGAATCGGCCTTGAAATGTAGTTATCTGACCGCACCTCTATGACTTTTGTAGGAGCCTCCTCTGTGCCCAAAAGGCCACGAAAAACTAAAAGTTCACACATATATAAGTTTCATTTTTCGAATAATATTTACAAAATGATTACAAATGGTCTGATTCAAATGTAATTCAAGATAAGAAGAAAATGGGAACTTACTAGAATTTAACATGATGTAGGATATTATTTTGACCCTTTCGTTTAAACCTGTTTTAAATTGGAATTATTAATTTTATATTGCACAACACAAAACAAATCTCGCACTAAAATACGACGTTCGACATCTGATCTGTCCTATTGACAAATGACAACTGATAAACTGACATCAGACATGACACTATCATGACACAGGCGGAGAATGACTTTGACAATGTCAATGTTTATTCTTCACGTTTTGTTACGATCAGAAAGCTACAAAAATGTATATGAGCCATTAATTATGTAAGGCTTAGCAAACTAGCAACCAATACGTAAATATTATTGTGAGCCCAAATGATTTCGTTTTGAAACTGATCTAGATTATTTTTTTCGCCCTGAGGACATGGTGAAACACAGTGGGGTCATGCCCTGCGTGGGCTGAGTACCGCCGTGCCCTCGGTCGCACCCTATGATCGGTGACGACGACCTCTCGCGTCTGGCCCTAGTTCGGGCCATGATGCGGAGCATGGAGGACCAGGATGCCGTCTCCTCCTTTTGCGAAGCAGTCATGCTAGCTAAGGAGGAAGCGGAGCGCGTCAGGTAGCGAAGCGCTGCATCCTCACAACCCAGCCGTCGCGAAGGACACTCCGGACGTCGCGTCGAGGATGTCGAGACGATCTCCGGCCACCGTAAGCACGGGCCTGCGAATGTTGAGCATGAGTAGCTCGCCTCGGGGGCGATGTCACGTGCCGCACGCTCGGGTCTGGTTCTGGTCCCGACCAAAGCGTGCGGCACGTGACGTTCCACGCGCGTCTCAAAGAGCCATCAGACCACAATGGATGGGGCCCAATAGGGCTGATGCCGATATGGAGCAGCGAAGGTTTAGACGGGTTGCTGGGGCTCCGACTCGAAGTGTATGAGTAGGAACGGGATGGATTTCAGTCTGACACTCCCTCCCGTCCAGGCGGGAGAAGTCATTCGATGTTTTATCCCCTTTACAAAAAAAAAAGATTATTATTGCATTGCCTAACAGTAAGTATTTATTATTTATTTATTCTATTTTGTTTCTTTGTAAAAAACTAAAACATTTAAGAACATCCTCAACTCAGCTATAACGTAACATTAACGGTTCATTTACGATTCAACCGTTTGAAAATGTAGCTTCGTGGCTCAAAGTCACGCTAGGAGCGTATAGGACACATGGACCATCCGTTTGCATAACCCCTTCAAACATTGATTAAACTTATAAATAAGCCTGAGGTGCTACCTCCGTGTCTCGTTGGTTTTGCGTCTGATCTCTCTCCGAACTTGTCGGTCTACCGTCCTATCGGGTTCTCAGAGCGAGGGAACAGAGAATGCACTTGTGTTGCGCACACACTTGTGCAAGAATATTTCTTATGTCTCCTGCGCTTTGGGCATAGATAAACATGATCGAAATCGATCGGGAGATTTTGACTTTCGGAAAATAGAATTTTAGGTTTGAATATTTCTGCAGTTTTAATTGACGACATCCGCAAGATGGCTGGCAGTGGTTGGATGAGAAGAGCTGAAGACCGAGTCAGTGGCGCGCCATTGAAGAGGCCTATGTCCAGCAGTGGACGAATACAGGCTGATGATGATAATGATGATGAATTATCAAGAGGTTACTAGCGAAGATTATTTTTAAAGTGCACACTCAAATTAGGTTTCCAAGAAATTTCGTCTCCTAGTCCTTCTACACGGAAACATGTAAGAGCGAAAAATGGGTATTTGATATTTTTCCTCTGGTTATGAGGCTGTAGGGTGAAAAGGTGTAACATTATAAAAGTAGGTACTTAATATATTTCCGAAAATAAAAACAATAAATCAGTTACATTTATTTTTAATTAAGATTAAAAATGGAATGCACATAATACTAAAAAGTTAATAAAATAATATCCTAAAACTAAAACCATCTAATTATAAGGATATAAAGCATATAAATTTTTGGTATAATTCCTTTTAAAAGCATAAGATCCATATGACTAGATATATTTGTGTGTACAGATTGATTATAAAAACATTTTATTTTACACATTTATTGTTATTGTTTTTTTAATTTATACACACAATAATAATATGTGTTCTATTTATTGATATATCCATGTGACTTATTGTCCAACAACATTCTGTTTTGTTAAATAAAAAAAGTACAACAACACATAAAAATATTTCCATCAAATACTGAACTAGGAAATTGATTATAATCATAATAGTTATAATAGTTGGAATGTAAATAGGTTGGATAGATATAATTTAACACAATAATAAAATAATTAATCTAAATAACACCAAAATAAATTCAGTAAACATACAAATAACATCAATCTTTGGTGATAAAATTAAGTAACTTTATTTAAATACTCTAGAACTAGCTAAATATTTAAACAAGAATTCCAACACACAAAAAGTTATACAACTTAAATACTACGATTGATAAATTGTCATATTAAATGGGCCGCCATTTTGTCGCATCGCACGGATCGTACGCATGTGCTAAGAAACCCACTCAGTGACTCAGGCCACGATTCCCGTAAGGACAACACCCATATATGGCGTAGGCGGGATACGCATGATAGGATAGGAGCCCTTATATTCGATTACTCAGATTTACTTGTCACATAAACAGATCATTTTAACAGATGGTCACATTATGCATAATAGAGCAGTGTACAATATATAAAATGTACATAAAATACATGATTATAAATATTGTAAGCTAATGAGCATAGTAATACATTCATTGTACTAATCCAAGTTACTTCTAGAACCAAACAGTTTTGTTATTATAAATACTCCTATACATAAACTTCTCTTTTACTTCAAGTACCTACATCACTTATTTATCACTGTAGATAGGTATAGGTCATTCCTAACTATGACTTTAACAACTGAAACATCTATAGATAGTAAGGTGTCCAAATTATCCATAGACATTTATTTATATCACCATGAAAATTCTTCATTCCTATATGTGAAAATATGCATTGGAATCAAGCTAATTTGTCAGTGACAGTGTCATGTTTCGATGGTGATGACAACAAGATAAATTCCATCACATTAAAAGGTTTATAATTTAACTAAAAATCGCGGGTGACTCACGTGAATATACTAAGAAAAGCTCTACTAGTTTCCAACCACAGAGGGGTTCTACCTCATGAGCAGCGTGCGCATACCCTGCGCTACAACATCGTCGCAATAAAATACCTCAATGCAAGCGCCAACGCTAGCCAGTAGGCTGCGCGACATCAGCGCAACCGCGCACGCTGCTCATGAGAAAGAACCCCTCTGTGGTTCAAAATTATAGTAGAGCTTTTCTCAATATGTTAACATGAGTAACTCGCGTTTTTATGTAAATTGAGTATGTCTCACAATGGTTATTATAAAAATAAAGGTTTATAATATGATTAATATGCACACAGTTTCACATAGGTTTTTGGTGAGTTACAACTCAGTGCTATTAGTTACCGTGCCCACAAGAGTTAGATAGGTAACATCGACAGAAAGAAGACCACTATGTTATTTAAAATGAATGTGTTTAACATAATCTAAGCTCTTTGTCTAGAAAAATACCTACATTGCATTAGGCTGCATGGCTCTGGTTTGTGTTTGACCCTGGAAGGTTGTCAGGGTTAGCCAGTGGATCCAGTTCAGCAAAGAGTTTAAACCAAGCTGCTTTATCCTCTTTCTTCGGAACAACGGAACTTGGTGCTGGCTTTGAAGTGTGTACTGATTTCACCGCTTGTGTCTGATTGTTGTTGCTGCTTACTGGGGTCATCAGTCCTTGGAGCAAGCTGGACGAATTCTGAAATGGAATATAATATATCAATTTAATCATCTATGTTAATTAAACAGCAAATAACCATATCAGTTATTTGCTGTTGAGTCATACATTCCTCACATTTGTGATAAGGATAAAGTTCAAATATAATTTTAATTGCATTGTGTGAGGCATGCATAAGGTAATTATTTGCATTAACTGAACAATAAACTACTTGAGTGTAGCTATAATATAAAATTTTGATTAATAAACTTACTTGTAACAATTGCGAGGGCAAAAAGGTTCCGACTCCGCCTTGTCCATCACCGCAATCTAACTGTAGGCCAGCTAATTCAGATAGTATCCCAGCATTTCCGCTAGATGACTCTGATTCCAAGTAGCTTGTATCAATCAGGTTTACCGAAGTACTGGGCTTTGCATCTCTCTCATTGGACGGTTCTTTGTCATTTTCGTTGTCTGTTTTTGGTTTCTCACTGGTCTCTGGATTGTCATCTTTAAATTCATCCTGAAAGGTTTATTGCATAATATTACACAATTAAATTCTATATCTCTATATCTATGACAACTAAAACTTTTAAGTCTTATGTAACTTTAAAATCTAAACTATTATGGTATGGATACTATTTAAACTGTCAAACACCAAGCGGTCACCGGTGACCCAACCTATTGTTCTATAATTGTGTCTATAATGACGGTACTTGACGAGTTAAATTATTTCTTTATATTTGTGTTTTTACCTGAAAAAATAACATCTGATCTTTGTCCTGAGGTGTCACCTCTTGCTTGCTTTCACCTTCACCCAGTGTCTGAGACAATTCCTTCAGGATAGAGAACTCATACTGTGGAGTGGCATTCATTGTGTCCGCAGTTGCTGTCAGAGTTTGTGCTACTTTTGTAGCAAAAGTTATGAAGGACCCTTGGTAGTTAGACAGTACATGAGAAAACATGTTACATCTGGCCGCAGCTAAGAGATCAATCTGAAAATATTATTTATATTATTGCTGATATACAGATAGTTAGTCAAAATGATAGACTACAGAATTTTCTGAGTTTCGTGTAATAATCAGAGAAGAGTATCATACTTTTTGCAACACATCCAGAGTTAATTTATCAAATAGTTTTTTGCTCTCGCGTACTTGTCGCTGTGCCTTTCGGAAGTTGTCAAGGCCGCGTCCAGTATCGGGATCTAACTGTGCGCTCGTTGATTTCATCCAGCTGAGAGCGGCACGGTATTCAATTCGGGCTTTTTCCATAGCTGACACAGTCGCCCGCATATCGCTCACGGCGCGACCTCGAAAAGTTTCTACTTCATGATAAAGCCTCAAGAGCGGTCCCCTCACCGATAAGCGCTGTTGACCAGAATAGGAAATTGCTTTTCCAGCTGATACCATGTGTTTACCGGATGCATCCGCATTTTTTCCTGCATCTCGCAAAAACTTTCCTAATGAATTTTCTTCTTGAGCCAAAATACACAATCGCTCCTGATATTGGTCCAATACTCGCTGTAATTGTAAGCAGCTGTCTGATATTGATCGAAATAATTCCAGTTTGGCATCAAGCTCGGCGTCGGACGCAACAATACACTCATCTTCTTTGGTTCCTAGTTTTTTTAGCACAGTCTTTTTTGTTACCCAGTACTGATGTTGCATCATATTACTGGAAAATGAAAAGAAATTTCACTGTTAGCTATCGATAAATTAAAAATTCTCTAACTGAATTACTGAAAATTCAGTGGAATTTGGAAACCGATTTGTTTGACAGTGTTGACATTTGATAATCTTAGCTTGACTTGACAGCTGACATCAATGTGACCAAAAATCTAAACGCTGTTTCTAAAATTAATTTTCAGATCTTGAGTGGTACTTTCGTAAAATAATTCTAATTCGATAACAAAAACAACTGATTTGAAGCAATCATATTCTTGAAAACATATAAAAATATCTTCTCTCATTATTATGAACCGTTATAAACATAAAAATATATTGTGACGGCGGTCTTTGACTGAAGTAATTTTTTTCATGTTTTGTCTATGACACGAATATTTACAACCGGAATGTGGAATGGCCGCCGCGTTTCGCGTTAGTGCGAATGTATTGTGTTATCAAATCGTCTTGATAATAATATGTACAATTTTATTAGGTGAGAGTGACTTTTTAACACAATAGTGTACAAATAATTATAATGTACTGTGCTACCGATAAAACGATTCCCGGTGTGTCATCGTCACAATCTTCGAAGAACGTCAAAGATGGTAAGTTTGGTTGTCACAAGTGCTTTTTTAATTTGCTAATGTATTTTATCGTGTAATAATTAGATAGATCTAGTAAAGTTGACAATTTAAAGAACTTTCCAGGATACTTTCATGAAGATGTTCCATCTGCAGGTTAATACCATTGTTTTTTGTTTATGTTAAAAGTTTGGGGATACTTTTTAAGTTTAGTAATGTTTCAAATTAATGAATTAGAAACAGAATGTATGTAATTACTGGATAAAGCGACTAATAAGAAGTAATTCTGGTTTAGAAAGAGTAAATTGTGTATGTTAGTATTGTAAATACAGGGTAAGCAAGTCAATCATCTTGTCCTAGTTATTATTATTACTAGTCATTCTTCTTGAAGCACTAGACTTTCAAAATGTAACGCACGCGATCAACGTCCGATTCACATTTCGAATATTGAGGTCATAGTGGATTAAGTGGATGTGTTTTTTTAGGATGTTACGTTATGTTTTTACACAATTTTTTCAAACAGTCTGTTAGCAAAATTATTATTAGCAGCATATTGCAATTAAACTACCAATTTGTGTGTGTATTTATCTTTACCTACATTAAGATAAAGCATGAATTTTATTAACACTAGGATTTCTTGCTTTCTATCAATACATAATTACCTGTGTTAAGAATTAGACCTATTAACTAGTAAAAAATAAAAATCAATTAATAGTTATATCATTGACATAAACTTTTGGAAGATTAATTTTTTTTTTGTCTATATGCTCTATTCTAGCGTTATGTCCTGTGTTGTGAGTGTGGTTACAATTTCACATGCACATCATACGCAGATATCCGAAAAAAAAATTGGTTAATCACACAAAGAGTACTAATGTAATGAGTTACTGCAAGAAGTCGGCAGTGTATTGACAAACACATCATTTACTAGCTTGTCATGTGAGGAATTATATTGACTAGCTAAATATAGTAATAAGTTACTAATATTTAGGTGTTAATAAAACAAGCAACACAAGCTGTATTTTTGTTAGGTTTACTAATAATTTGTTTAGAAAACATTGTATATTGTATAGTCATATGATTTGAGGCTGTAGTACTGGATGTTTGTTTATTATATCATTTCAATTATTGTCATTTATGTCTGTTTCGAAAGAGAATTGATACTAAGATGTTGATGACATTCTTTCAACTTTGTGTTTGTTGACCTAGCCATCATATTTCACACATTATGGAACATAGTTACTAAGATAAAATCAAATTATCCAACCCAGACTAACAGAGCCTTACCCGGAAGAGGTAAATAAAACACAACTTTAACTTTTGAATAATAAAAGCTACACTTGTTTGCCATTTACTTCTGTATGTAGGTACATAATTATTTAAAATTATTACATTTAAAAAGTACCTTGTACATCTATTAAACTGTCAAACACCAAGCGGTCACCGGTGACCGCAACCTATTGTTCTATAATTGTCTGTATTGACGGTACTCGACGAGTTAAAATAGAATAACACTTATCTTAAAAGGCGAAATGTTGTATTTAATTGCAGATGAATAAATATCGTAGATAGAAGTATATTTTTGAAATAAATGTACTTAATTAATAAAGGTACGAGGAAAACCACAAGCATGATATGTATTTAAAAATAGTTAATAAGTACTTGATATTAGAATGCTCTCGATTTATTTATTTATATTTTCAAATATACCTAATATAATTTATGAAACAATTAAAATTGAATTGTTTGTTTATAAAAAATGCATTGAAGAATTCCCAATTTATAATTAGATAGTGACTCAAATTAATATGAGGCATAATTTTCAAATTGTTTTGTCTTTAAAAAATGAGGATTGAGAAATTCGGTCAATGGCTCTTAGCACCATACAAACGTCACACATAAACCAGTACAGTAAACAAACAAGTGTCAGACAATAGACTAACAAAGTCACCTCCATCGACAAGTGATCGGCAGGTGGAAAAAACAGCTACGTACTCCTTGGTCGCATTAGACGCGTCATTGTTAACAAAACTGTATGAGTGAGGGTAACATTTGGCGGTAACCGGGTCAAGGTGGTCGTTTGATTCGCGTCGCGTGTCTATTCCCGACATATCGATCTTAGAGTTCTTAGGCTCGGTATCACGTCCGGCTTTTAGTGCCAAATTAGCATAGGCGAGGGTAAAGAACATTTGGGGTTTTACTACTGAGAGTTAAAGTTCTACAAGCTATTTCGAGGTATATTAGGGTCGACCATTCATTTTATATCAAACAGGTGCGTAGGGATATCAGAATTTTACGGACTGTTTGCCTTTGGCGACACGCGAAGGGACATAAGGTCTTTGTGTTTGAAGTTTTACGATAGAAAATGTAAGAAAATCTAACCATGATATACGGGCATTGAAGAAACCGAAACAGGCTAAAAACTCTCCCATACTGTATGGAAGTCGCGGAGAACCTAACGGGTTACCGGGGCTCCGGCTCGACGTGCAGGAGAAGGAACGGGGTGGTTTTTAGTCAGTAAGAGTCTGACAGTCCCTCCCGCCTCACCTAGGCGGGAGCAGACATTCGATGATTTTCCCCCCTTAAAAAAATACTGTATGGAAATAAATAAGCATATGACATTATCACAGTAACATATAGTAAGTAGTATAGCAAATTAATGAGATACCGACGTCATTACAACTTTGATTATATAAAGGAAACACGAACGAACAAAGCGAAGCACGAAAGGTCAGCACTGCATATCGTGAACTTTCTTTACGTATGCGGCAAAAACTAGCTAACTAATCAATTAAATCCTATCCCATTTACGTCAGTATTTATCTTTCTCTGAATCATACTAACAGAGGATGTTATTCATCTCATCCCAAAAGACGAAAATGTTTCATATTGACTGGTTTTTAATTCCACTACCCCAAGACTAATTCGAAGATATCTGTTACTTTGCTCGTTTTGAATCCAAAAGAAATAATATTTATAAAGTGGGAATAGTTTCCCTTACCTGATTTTGTGTTGCGGTTTCCCTGCCAGTCACCTGCTGTGGTGTACGATATAATAGTCACCGCAACACTTGACGACCTTGCACGCAGCTAAGGGACAAAGTCTGTTCAAGTTTTGCACTAAGAAATTTGCTTATTTTAAAACCGGTATACGTTTAAAACATGGCTTAACTGTACAGGTATATCTTTTATTTGTGAAACCAGTAACATCGTACAATATCGGAAGTTATGTTTGCATCTTACTTTATTATTCTGTAAATATTTAATAACTACAATGATTGTTCCAGCGTTATGCTAGTGAAACCAAGTACCTATGCTTCTCTAAACACTTTGTCGGTTAAATATTAAATGTATCGCTCGGTTCAGAAATTCCGAGTGTATAAGCTTTATGTATAAAATAAGACGACATTTACTTGCCAACGTAAACACTGCGTTTGTCCCAGTTCGAAATAACATTTCCCAGGTTGGTGGCCTGTAATGCTCGCTTCGAAATGTCAGAGGTCGATCTGTTAGCCTGATAAGATAGAAAGAGCTTTGCGAGTGTTCATATAGCTCATTCACTTGCAAATGAATTCATTACTCTTATATTTCACTGTAATATAATCTGGGCCAGTTGGTAAGCTAGATTGCAATTTATTTATAAGAGCACAAACTATTTGGCTGGACGCAACTTTCCAATTTGTTTGGGTTATATCCTGCTCGCTTAGTAGTTCGGAATAGTTCTTGTAATTAAAGCTTCTGTGGACAAGGAATATAAATTAGTTCTTAAGTAGGTAGTAATGTAGGACATTTTATAGTCTTTCATTTAGGATGTAAAGGAACAGAACCGAAAAAAATAGCTAAGACTTCCTTATGTTGTATGCTTTACATTAACTACATAAGATTGGCTTTCATAAGGTGTAATTTTGGAATACGTTAATCCTGGATTGTCTGTATAGGTAATGAATAGCCTAGACACGTCTTTGTTAGTGCTTAGTCGGCAACAATGGACTGCGTGTACAATTACAGGGTGCTATTCAACTTATCCACTCAACTACTCTAGACTAGACACATTCGTCCTCACTAGAGCGCTATACTCTATGAATCAGTTCTTTTCTACCTAAAAAGACTCAAATGAAACAGCATTATCCAAAGAATCTGAAGAAATTGAAAATGGCTTATGATTTTTAATGTCTTTTACTATTATTTATGTAAACATCGATCAATTTGGTGTTTAATTAAAATAATTCTGGTAAAGCACTTGGTAGCCGTGAGCCTCGTTAGATTTTATTACCAGTCCATTCGCCTAATTATTGTAGAACCCATTTCTTTAGATCTATTATATTGGCCTATAAAATTGTTCTGAAGACTTATTTAATGTTTCTCCAATAAACTCGTTGTTGTTATAGTCTATGGCAAGTAGTTCTTCGAATTCCATGTTGAGAATTTAATGGTTTGCATAATGTACTAAACGATTTATGGTAATTTTATTTCTTGTAACACTCTGGGTACTGATTAATTTTACATTGCGTCTAAAAAGCGTTCTAAGAGA